GGGCTAAAAGGATGTCCATGATTAAAATCAACAACTACATTGAAATCATTGAAAAGTGTTTGGATCAAGATATTTCCCACCTCAGGTTTTGCAGCTAAAGCCTCCTCAAATTGTTTCACGACTTCAGGTGGAGACAAATGATCAATCTCAGCGCCAAGTATTTGAGTGGGAACCTTAACCGCTGCAATTTAGCCCCAGGAATTTATCAATAAACACAGACCGAACCGTTTTTTATTTTTTCAATCTACACTTTCTTAGGGTAAATATTAGAAAACGTAGGTATGTGTTCGTTTAAATTGACACCTACACTAATTAGCTAAATATTTCTTGAAAATTAAATAGGGAAATCGTACCCTTGAAATCATCCACAGTGACAAATGCAGGATGACACATAGCAGCAGCTTGGATTAAGTCATGCTTTGAAAGTTCAACCACAACCTTGGCTGAAAACAGCACAAATGATTCAGTGTCAACCGAAACATTTTCCCATAGGTTGGACTACTAAATTACGGCTGAGAAGAAATCCGAAACGAAACCAAAATTTAGAAAGACGAGACATTCTATTAAACTGAAAAAGGAACTAAAAAATTATCAAGAGAAGAATCCATCAGGAGGGGAAAATGAGCTCACCCCCGAAACAGAGTCCTACAGCACCAACTGCAGAAATACCTTTACTTTTTAAAGCTTCAAGTAATGGTTTTGTATCTTCGAATGCTTTGTCCTGTTTAGAAGAGCGAGACATTTTAACAATACTTCCACAATCAACAGTTTGATTTTAAAACACTACAAAATCAGGTCTTTTTATTTCGTCAGAGGTGGAAAAAATCATATAAACTTTGAAAACATCAACAGTAATTCGACTTCCAAGCTGAAGCCACACGCATCTTCAACTTAAAACAGCCTCAATACAAGAATTTCACATTATCTTAAACATTTTATGCGAATTCAAGAATCACGAAGGGATACTTGTAAAAGAATTCAATTATAATTAAAGGAACAATTTCTTGATCTCTACATGATAAGAGAACCAACCGGTTCATGATGTTTTAGCCAGCCAGGGAGAGCGTCAAATCCCTCCTCTCCGAGTTCAAAAGGGTCTCCGTAAAAGAAGTCAGGGACCACAACAAAAAAGCCAGCATCTGCAAATTTGTCTGCCAGCTTCCTTCAAAACAGAAGGCAGGTGGTGTTAGTTGAAGGGTACATGAGATTATGAAAACACGCAAATGATATTGTGATTGATCAAGTGACTAACACAACTGTGCTTCGAAATTTTTTTTTTTTTTTTTATGATGTTGAGAACTAGAAGGATAATCTATCTTTCCAGACACTGACGGATCCAGAAATCTAGACTAGAAGGGGCCTTTTAAGCCATACAAAAATAATTAAACAAAGTAATTGCAATTTATTGAATGGGAGAAAAATTAAAGGTTTTGTTTTTTGTATTGGAATGAAAAATTTCAATCAAATAAGAGTAGTAGAGCTTAAATTTTTAGTATTGAAATGATTAATATATCATAAGAACAAAACTTGTTTATGAGCTTTGATAAATAAAAGATTAACACGTTAGATTCGAACAAAAATTTTTAGTCAAGACTTAAAACCCGATCTTGTTCTAGACCGTCTTAGTCTTGTTTTACCCCTTGTTTTATATTAACTGTCCAAAACAGTGGATATGATTTTTATATGGTAAAACATAAGGCTAATTATTACAAAAAAAAAAAAAAAGTGGGTTTGGTTTTAATATGGTAAACAGAAGGCAAATTATGAAGGTTTTTTTTTTTCTTCAGTTCTCTGAAATGCAATTCAGAGAACTAATCCATCACACCGTTGCAACACAGACAAAGTAGCTGTAGAAAAACGGATATGCAACAAGTCATACCTCAATTTTGGAGCATCATATCCTGCACAAACAATAAACATGTTAAAATAACAAGTGGTTTGCTGATACAACGTCATAGACTCAGGAAGCAATTTTATACAACTGATCGAAAATCAGTTATTTCCCGCGATCGGGGAAGGAACAGAAACAGACGAAAGAAACACACAAAAAGGCAAACAAACTATGCTCTCATATGACATGCAGTTACAAATATCCTCAGTCAACCAAAACAAACTATGCTCTGATATGACCTAAGTGAACACAGCTGAGGCTAGATTATCATCAGTCAACCAAAACATATTTATAGCACCTATTAACATAATAGTTAAGTATCAAACTTGTCTAGTAAATATACTGTAGTATCGGTGACATAACACCAATTATACACTCCAAAAATCTATACCCTATAAATAAAAACCATACACAGGCCAATCAAAACACAATAAATAAACATAACCCATGTCAGAAAATGAAAAAAAAAATTGCAGAAATTACTGAACCAAATTAAAAAGCAGAGATTTTTTAAGTTGTGGGAGTTGAGAAAGAACCAAAAATATCAGAGAGGAGAAGAACGGCGAGCTTGGAGTCAGGGGAGCCGACAAGATAGGTGTCGAGACCGCCGAACTTCTCGACGTGGCCGGAGCCACTCGATGGGTTCAGGGTTGGTGGGTGGGAGCAGCACTGAGGGCCTGACATTTTTGTTTTTGCTTCTCTGAAACAAGCACACAGCCTGTTTATCTAATCAAATAATTTATGATAGTTTAGTTGAGTTGAGTTGACTCGTTAACTAATTGATTAGAAGGAAAGGTTAGGATTGGGAGAGGGAGAGGAACTCTAGTTAACATGCATTAAACATGACCCTCCTTCTTTTCAATAATTACGATCCGATTTTACTCAAATTTAGAGAGTGGCTATAATATTACATTCACCTTATTCCCACAACCACAACTATGGAATCGCATCCAAACTTGACAGCTTTTGATGACTCTGACAAATGGACTACCAACACCAGACTTTGACAAATGAACTCCCAAACCAACGCCACTGAATAAGATTTACAATTTCGTTGTAACACAAACATCTGTTATTATCAAATTAAACTTTAAACATCAATTTGTTGTAGATTTACCAATTAGGACTATAGAATGACAATATTTTTGATATTCTTAATCGAAGATCTTAAATTTAGCTCATATAAACGATGATAAAGTATTATATTTATAGGCTTTAATATCAAAATGGTTCATGTCTTTTAACCTAACGGTCAATCTGGTCCCCGTTCTTTCAATTTGGTCAAATTGGTCCCCTTCATTAGCTAATTTTCCATTAAAAGACTGTTAAATTGAGATAAAAATATAATTCAACGGTAAACCCATTAATGTGCACGAGATCAGATGATCGACAACGACACTTCAAAAATATTTCACGCTAGATAGTCTTGAGGACATCTTATTGTTGAATTGCAAATCGGGTAATGCTAGGGAGACCAAATTTTTAAACTAAATTTTGTAAATTAAATGATTGGATTGTTGATGATTAGATATTAACATGCTTATTTTTTATTAGTGACACATCATTTAATTTAAAATTTTAGTTTGCCTAATAATATTTAGGACAATTATCTTGGAAAATAAACCAAGGATTTGAAAGATTACAGGCCTCTTGCGTTGCGTTCTGCCACTCTCCATCGCAAGGGTAATTGTGCCGAGGTCGAGTCTTTGAGTTTGAAAGGCTTTTGAGAATTTTTTGCTAACAGTTTGTTGACACCTTGTTCACTTTCTGTAGTAGTGGAACTATATTTGTTCTCATTCGCATAAATTTGATCTCATGTACATCCTGTCTGCACAAAGAAATCAAAGACGTGATATATAACTACATCAAGGTCACCAAAAAACCAATTTGAAATTGAACTCCTTGGAGATCACCAAGAAAACATTTATGAGGCGTCATCATCGATCATTTGATTTCGCATGGGTTTAATAGGTTATAGTGGAATTATATTTTTGTCTTCTCATGTACAAGGTACAAGTCGATCTTAACGGTGCTTTAAAGATTGTCTAAGGTTAGCTGACAAAAATAAACACGAGGATCAATTTGGCTAAATTGAAAACATGGCACTGATAAGGTAAACACAACATTTAAGCCATATTTATTTGAGTTCAACACCTACTTAGTGTATGTCCCATTGCGAGACCTAACTTCTCCTCTTTTTAGCAAGGGCGAAGCTACAGCAGAGAGCAGAGCGAAGAGGGGTGCCCATCGAAAATCCTCATGAAGAGCGAGGAATCCGCCCTTCAAAACCTCCCTGGAAAGTGTTAAATGAAATGCTTGAATGAAGGATGCTAACGATGTTGCTGCGCTGCGTGCGCCATTTTTTTTTTTCATCCAGTTATTTTATAATTCGGAATCAAAGTTTTATTTTTGTTTTTTTTTTTTTAAATCAGAGAATACAAAATCTGCATTTTTTGCAGCTTTGATTCCAACGAAGAAATAATGGTAATATACTATAAAAAACAGTGCTTGAGAGTCCATTATCTTCCTTCGAATATTTTGGTTACTACAATCCTCATTTGAATATTCTGGATGGTTCTCATCAAATGAGGTCACTTAGCTAAATGAAATAGTGATTAATCTTTCTGCAAACCATGGACTTAGACTTTGAATAGTTGTCTTCTTTTTTGGGACATTTTATCCTTCTAAATTTTGCCCTCTTCTTTACAATTCATGACTTCACCATTATTTTTTTAAATATTGTTGTATAAATGAATAAATATATCGTCGCGGACCTAAGGTTTTCAAATCCAAATTCATATTGAATTGGTTGATAACTATTCATTTTAGTTTTTATTTTAATTTTTTCTTGATAGAGAGAATTTATAAAGAAATTGAGAAGTACAATGGACGAGGATGGAGAAAGAGTATGGAAGGGTAGATGACGAAGAATGTTTGAAACAAAATCTAGGAAAGTAAAACCAACTAAATTTGTTGTTCCATCAACATGCGTCTACCTTTTGCTCATCCCTCTTTTTCTCCTTTCTTCCTAACAAAAAAGTGAAAACTACAACTAAAACCGAAATGGTTATGTATCGGAAACAAATTTACGACGCTTACAAAATTCTCATTTTTGGTGGGAGGCATAACCATATGGCGTCCCCAACTAGTATACTTATATGACAACAAAATGGTGTCCGAGGTTCTTCCGGGTTACATGGAGGACGCCGGTCCAGTCCAGTTCAAACTACAAAACCTTACAAAGAAATACTGGTACATAAAACTCCCAGAGGCATTATTTAATCACTACTAATAGAGAGCAGCTGAAATACTGGTACATAAAACTCCCAGAGGCATTATTTAATCACTACTAATAGAGAGCAGCTGATAAGATAAGGAAAACCACTACGCTGACAACGTCACTCCCTTGACATGCTTTAAGAACCACTCCAACAAATCTTGATGAGCCTCCTCGGCAGATTTACAAGCTGCTTTGTCTTCGACGTTGTACCTCACCGTCCACCCGTGTGACACTTTCGGGAATATCTTCACATGGCTCTTAACCTGTGATTCCACAAAACCAACAATCGTTTCAACAATTTCGAAAGTTTACCACTACAAGATACCACAGTAGTGAACGCAAACGTGAAAGGGACTGTTTTTGGTGTTGTTCTATCATTTCTTCGAAAAGAACAAAATTAAAACGTTTTCGAAAATCATATCTCAGCATTGGTATATGAGTTCTCGGGCACCCTTCCCTTATAAGTTGTTTTTGCAAGGGCAAGTTACGTATAAGTATTAAGCCATGCCATGCCATGCACAATTACATGTCATAATATGATAATAAGAAAGACAAAGTTCGCAAGGCATCTCAACTTGGAAATGTCGATGATTAGAATAAACAAACAAAGGCACAAAGTATTGAAGATGAAGGATGTTCCTACCTCATTTGCAGTTAAAACCTCTTCAAACTGTTTCACGAGTTGAGGCGGGGACATCTGATCAATCTCAGCTCCAAGTATAGAAATCGGAACCTTAACCTCTGAAAGTAGTTCCAGGAATAGATCACAGAATGAGTGTGAGGCTAATTATTTGTTTTTTCCGTTCCAATAATGGTGTCTAAGCAGATATTTTCTGAATATTAATACAGATATCTTACTTTTGATATCATCCACAGTGACAAATGAAGGATGACACAGAACAGCAGCTTGGATTAAGGCGTGCTTTGCAAGTTCAACCACAACCTTGGCTGAAAACAGCGCAAATAATTCAACGTCAACCGACAAAGCAACAAATAAAAGTAAATAGATGCAAGGAAAAATGAAATAGAGGAACAAAGATGTTAACGAGAAAGGAAAATGAAGTCACCTCCCCAACAGAAGCCAGCAGCCCCAATTGCAGAAACACCTTTGCTTTTTAGAGCTTCAAGAACTGGCTTTGCATCTTCAAATGCCTTGTCCTATCAATCCAAAAATACGATTCAGAAGCTAACAATACTTGAACATATCCAAATTGCAAAGTAACTTTTATAACACCCCAATGCTAGGGCTCGTATTTTTTCATTGCCACAGAAGGTGGAATCAGCGTAGCAGTGAACAACCATAAAGTTTTTAACATAACAACAGTCATGGGACTGCCAAGCTGAACCCACACACATAAACATCTGAGATTTCTTGTAGAAGTACTTCGATCAATCATTAACGAAACAAAATGGATAACGGATATGCATAAGTAGACAATGACAAAAGAACCAACCGGTCCGTGATCTTTTATCCAAACAGGAAGAGGTCTATTGGCATCTTCAGGCACATAAGGGTCTTTGTTCAAGAAGTCGGGGACCACAACGAAGAACCCAGCAGCTGCAACTTTGTCAGCAAGCTTCCTTTACAATGGAAGGCAGGTGGCATTAAGTAAAGGATATTATGGGAACATGGTTACTATACAGTGATTCAACACACAGTTGTTCTTCGATGAAAATCTCCGATGTCAGTAATTGGCATGTGAAATTTAAGCCTTCCATAGATTTTAGAGTGAACAATCTAAAAGTATAGGTCTGGATCTTCAAACCATCAGAAAGGGTCATTAAAAAGGCAGGGTATCCCACAATCCGAAACTATTGGTTGTAAATACCTTTGAAAAATAAGTTAGACATAGATTACAGACCTACTGTAACTTTTATTCTTCTTCCTTAACGATTGTACTTTTTAAGTAAATTATTCATCAAACTTAACCAGCAAGGGTAACTGAAGGCCCCGAATCAGTATCCGAAATCGAAAAAAGGACAGCATAAAAAGCTCAGATTCAAGAAAAAGCGATTCTTAGAACTAATCTAGCACATTAAGGACTGAAATAAAATTAGCTGTCGAAAAACCGATAAGAGAGTAGTCATCATACCTCAAGTTTGGAGCTTCAAATCCTGCATGACAAATCAAACATGTACCATTACAAAGCAGTTACAACATGCACACTTTCACCTAAAACTGAACATCACATAAGCTAGATTATCATATGAAGAAAAAGAGAGGTTTTTGAAGTGGTGGGGAAGTTACCAAAAATGTCAGAGACGAGAAGGACGGCGAGCTTGGAGTCAGGGGAGCCAGTGACATAGGAGTCGAGACCGCCGAGCTTTTCGACATGGCCGGTGCCGCTGGAAGGGTTGAGGGTCGGAGGGTTTGAGCAGCACTGAGGACCTGACATTCTTTCTTCTCCTGTGAGTCACAGAAACCGTTTGCAACTACTTAAAGTAGCTATAGGATGGTTCAGGAAGCTAAAAAGGTGTGACCACAATTCTGAAATCATCTATGCGTTGCGTTACGTAGCTTGCTTTACACGCCATACTTAGAAGAGTTTAGAAGAACTTATTGATTGAAAAGGTCTGAGCCGTGCCACTTTTCATTCTTTTATTTGCATCATCTCAAACGTCACCTATTTTGGAAGTATACGTGTGTTGCGTAACCTCAAACGTCACCACAATATTGGAAGTATTTTGAACATTTTGAAGTATATTTGCATCATCTCAAAACAGCATTAGATGTACATGTGTTGTATTACTGTTACACTAGATAGTTTAGAAGTACATTTTGACTAGTTGTATTTAACAGACACAGTGTCATGACACGTTTTTTTGTCAATAATATTTTAATTTTGTCTGTCACATAAATTGTTAACGTGCTGATGTAACAATGTACATTCTAATAATTTACTCATTAGAATATAAAAATTAGGCCATATGCTTTTCATGATCCGGGTGGTGAGACAGTTATTTTAAGTGACCCATGTGGTGAAAAAGTTGTTAATCATAACTCTGTGGTCAAGTCCGTTAGCAATATCAATTCAATTAGTAATTTTCAATCTTCGTTAAGATATAGGGGGTAAAAATGTCCTTCACCCCATTAGTCATCTCATCCAATCACAAGTCATCATACTGACATATGTTATTTTTATTTATTTAGAACTAAAAAATAAATTAATAAACTGATATTTCCCCCATCCCGATCTTTCTCGTCTTCTGATTCTCAAGGAAGAAATAAAATTGGCAGCTAGGGAAGGAGTTTTCTAGAATCAAAACCTCCTCATCCCCTATAACTTTCGTAACCAATGGCGACTAATAGAGAGATTGAACGATATTGTGCATCAACAGGCTAACAACTGATCGAGTCCTGTTAGTGCAACAAGACAATCAGTTGTGCATGGTTTGTACATCTACTATTAAGGATACCTTTGTAAATGACTCAGTTGATGATAAAACTTAGAGTTGTCAGTTTGTTGAGATAGTTGTAATAGGTGGTTAATTAGTTGGAATGTAATAGTTATTTAGTGAGTGTGAAAGGTTGTATATATACAACAATCCATGTAATAGTTATTTAGTGAGTGTGAAAGGTTGTATATATACAACTATCCTCATCAACACCATATATCAAATCCTCATCAACTCCATATATCAAAATCCTCATCAACTCCATATATCAAAGTCTTCTCAGATGATGATTGGGCATGATGTACTATTGACTTAAAATCCATTGGAGGTTATTGCATTTTTCTGGGTTCTTCTATCATTAGCTGGAGTGCTAAGAAACAACCGATTGTTGCTTGTTCTTCAACAGAGGCAGAATATTGATCTCTTGCTAATACTGTTGCAGAAATCAAATGGATATGTCAACTACTTGTGGATATTGGCTTCTAACTTCCCTACGCTCCTCAACTTTGGTGTGATAATATATCAGCCATTTCCCTAACTAACAATCCTCTATGTCATGCCAGGACAAATCACGATGTGATCGATTACCATTGTAAGAATTGCAGAAAATGCAGAAGAAATGTAGAAGAAGTTTTAGCAAGAGAGAGCTTGAGAGCTTTTGTGAATTGATCTTTCTTGATTACCAAGTAACTTTTACAAAGGGTATTTTATACTACACTATCACAAAGCTTACTTATTAAGCTAATACAATGTGTAACCTCCTTATTTCAACAAACCACACTTCTAACAATCGACAACTCTAACAACTTTTGTATAACAACCCTTCTTATCCATTTACATGTGGCATGATCTTAACCATTGTTTCCTTTTCACTTGGATCACTAGCTTTGATATTCTTACTTCCCCCCCTCAAGTTCATTCTTCATGGAACTAAGCATGATATTGTTGCAGTGTTGATAAAACAATGATGAAGACAAGCCTTTAGTTAGAATATCTGCAAATTGTTCAACAGAAGACACATGTTGGACATGAAGGTCACCTCTTGTTACCCTTTCTCGAACAAAATGATAGTCAATTTCGATATCTTTTGACTTAGAATGAAACATTGGATTTGTAGACAAAGCTATAGCTAAGATGTTATCACAATAAAGCATTGGAGACATGAGAAGTGGAAGGTGTAGATCACAAAAAGGGATCATAAAAAGGCTACCTTATTTAGGCAAGTTCAGCTGTTGTAATTGCTAATGCACGATATTCACCTTCAGTTAATGAACATGATACTGTATGTTGCTTCTTTGAAGCCCAAGATATATGATTGGAACCTAAAAACACAACAAAACCAAAAATAGACATTCTATCATTAGGATCACCTGCCCAATCAGCATTACTATAAGCCTAAAGATGAATTGGTCCTGGTTTAAAGTGTATACCATAATCTGAAGTGCCTTTGAGGTACCTGAGAATCCTTTTAACAACTACACCATGAGATTCCATTGGATTATGCATGAATTGACATGCTTGATTGACAACAAAAGCTATGTCAGATCTTGTGAAGGTAAGATATTGTGGTGCATCCACAATGCTTTTATATTGCTCAAGGCTATGATAGGGTTTTCAATCATCTTTCAATAGCCTGTGATATAGCAAGCATGGTGTAGGACAAGGTTTGCTCCTTCCTACAAATCAACTTTATCGATTAACTCTGAGATGTACTTGGCTTGGGACATAAAAATCCCTTCTTGTGTATAGCTGATTTGTAATCCCAAAAAATAATTCAATTGACCCAAGTCTTCCATATCAAACTCTACAGTGAGATGTTTAATAACTGTTGATATGAGTTGTAGACTACAGCTTGTTAAAATCACATCATCTACATATAACAATAACACCATAATACCAAGTGATGAGTGCTTGACAAATAAAGATGGATCAGCCTGTGAACTCTGAAATCCCAATCCAGGTAAAAAGCTTGTAAATATGTCATTCCATGCTCCAGGGGCCTGCTTGAGCCCATAAAGTAATTTTTGTAACTTGCATACAAAGTTAGATGGATGTTTATCACTTACAAAGCCTAAAGGTTACTTCATATAGACTTCCTCTTGAAGAACACCATGCAGAAAAGCATTTTTGACATCTAATTGTCTAAGAGACAATTTGTAATGAGTTGCCAATGCAAGAACTAGCCTAATGGTTGTTAGTTTGACTACTGGACTGAAGGTTTCCCCATAGTCAATTCTTTCCTCTTGGCTATAACCTTTTGCTACTAACTTGGCTTTATATCTTGCTATGGAACCATTTGCATTCTTTTTTATTTTGTAAACCCATTTACAACCCACTAGATTTTTTGTTAGTGGCAAAGGAACAAGAGACCAAGTCTGTTGAGAGTGCAAAGCATCTATTTATTCTTGCATTACAGATTTCCACTATGGGATCTTGGTAGCTGCCTTAAAATGTTTTTGGTTCCAAAACTATTGATGGTGAATCAACAATTGCAGACAAAACTTTTCTATTGATAATCCCACCTTTTGATCTTGTTTGCATTAGATGCAAATTCATTGATGTGGGGAAAACAACAGTGAGTTGTTCATGTTGAAAATCAGGATCCACAAAAACAGGTGACTGTGCAAATGAGTCAATTGTTGTGGTGAGACTTGGAAAGTGAGAAATAACAATGTCATTGATAGGGTTTTGAATTGAATCTAGGGCTCCGAATGCATCTATTTGCTAGGAATCTGTGGCACTAGATGATGATGCAAATAAAGATTATGAGACACTAAATGAATTGTTATCCTCAAAGTGTGAAGATAATGACAATGATGAATACTCATGATATGAGGGTGACAATGTTTGAGTTTGTAATAAGATGTTTGGTAATGCAGTGATCTATATTTATACTGGTGTATGCAGAGAATTTGAGCTTTGTGCTTTTGAAGGGATAGTGTGATATGAAAATTTTGTTTCACCAAAATGAACATGCCTAGATACATATGTTTTATTTGTCTCAAGATTAAAACAAATAAAACCCTTGTAGTGACCTGCATACCCTAGAAAAATACAAATTTTGGTTTTTGGTTGAAACTTATCTGTGTTATATGGTTAAAGTAATCGAAATAGGCACATCCAAACACTTTTAGATGATTTATACCAAGCATTTGACCATATAATAGCAAATATGGAGATTTTATTTTTAGAGTAGCACAAGACATTCTATTTATCAAGTAGGTTGCAATGGCACAAGCATAAAACCAAAATTTGGAAGGAAGATGTGCAGTTTGTAATAGAGTGAATACAGTTTCAATAATGTGCAAGTGTTTCCTTTCTGCAAGACCATTTTGTTCTGGTGTATATGGGCAATAAATTTGATGTATAATGCTATGATTCAAGAGATAGTTCTTAAACTTAGTGCTCAAATATTCACCACCACCATCACTTTGAAAAACTTTCATTTGTGCAGAGAATTGAGTACATAGATATGCATTGAACTGAACAATTATTGAAAATATTTCTGCTTTATTATGTAATGGAAATATCCATGTAAATCAAGTACATTCATGTATGAAACTTACATAGTACCTAAAACCTTCAACATATAACAAGGGATAAGGTCCCCACACATCACTGTGAATGACTTCTAGAGGTTGTACAAACTTATTTGAAGAATACAAGAATGGAATTTTTGTAAATTTTCCTTCTAAACAAGGTGTACAAATGTTTGCAGTAGCTTATGATGCAAGTACTTGATTATTGTGCAATATAACATAAATAATTGCATTTGATTGGAGTCCTAGCCTCTTATGCCATAAGGTTGTATGTACTAGTTTTGCAAGATAGCATGCATGTTTGTGAGGTGATGCAAATAATAGCTTCTATGGTATGTAAAATGGAATAGGGTAATAACCATCCCCACACAGTCCCTTGGGTAGCATTGTCTCTATGATCTTGTCCTGAACCCAAAAAGAAAATTCATCACATATAAACCTGTATCTATTTTCTTTGTAGAGTTAATAAATGGAGAGTAAATGTTGTGATAGCTTTGGTACATGAAGAACATTTTTGAACTCAAAGAGTATGATTT